TTCATATATGAAATTTAGTTTTTCATATGTGAATTGTATAACTTCATATATGACTTGATTTTCATATATGAAAATTCTTATATGAAATTACCAAATTTCACATGTGAAATGGATTTCATATATGAAATTTAGTTTTTCATATCTGAAATTAAAATTTCATATATATGACCTGCTTTTCATATATGAAAAATTAATATGTGAAAAAGAGAATTTCACATATGAAACTGAAATTTCATATATGAAATTACCTTTTCACATGTGAAATTCTAATTTCATATATGAAAATCTTCATTTCACATATGAAAATCTTCATTTCATATATGAAATTCCAATTTCATATATGAACTTTAATGTGAAATTTTTGTAAGGGCTGGTTATCCATTGAGCACTCTATCATTGGTTTTTATAACCAAACAAAAAACTATTTTATACTTGCTCCTTTTGTGGACCATGGTCCCGGACATGGAGACTACAAGTTTCGAATATTCTACAAAGAATATTCCATTACCATCAGAAGATGACTACCGAGCGAAGCTTATCGAACTAACCGAACAATTATGTCGTCGGATGCGATGGAGAGCACTTTTTTACCTCAATCCTGAGAAATGTAATAGTGGCACTAAAGATACCTTTGGATTTAACTCAAACCGAACACCTCCCCCAATCGCTGAAATGGCTAAATTTGAGAAAAGAATGACCAACATGATTGCAAATGTAAAATTCAAGAAAGTCAACTGCCCATTCCAAAGTAAAATATCCTCGGATATAAGAAACATCAGGACTTCTGACAAATTATTCGTACCAGCTGACAAAACTACAAATTACTACAAAATGGACTCTCCTTCTTACAACAAGCTTCTTGAAAAAAATATAACAAAAACATACAAAAAAATCACACCCGACACTGTATCTTCAATCAACAACGAGGCTAAAGATATTGCGACGAAATTAGATCTTGCTGACAGGATTAATATTACAGCCGAGCGTGAAGCGTTTATCACCTTAAAAGATCATAAACCTAACTTCAAAAATAATCTTACCTGTCGCCTTATTAACCCAGCTAAATCAGAAATTGGCAAAGTAAGCAAACAACTCCTTGATCGAATCAACCAAAAAGTAATTGCACGTATTGGAGTCAACCAGTGGAAAAACACCACATCTGTGTTAACATGGTTCAATAACATTCCGAACAAAGATCAATATTCATTCATTGCTTTTGATGTGGTTGACTTCTACCCATCTATTTCAATCGACCTTCTCAACGCAGCGCTAGATTTCGCCTCAAATTATGATGACATCACGGATGATGAAAGAAATATTATTCTGCATGCAAAGAAATCATGCCTATATAATTCTAGAGAACACTGGGGCAAGAAAACATCTTCAAACCTGTTTGACGTAACTATGGGTAGTTATGACGGGGCAGAATCGTGCGAGCTGGTCGGATCCTTTTTGTTACATCAGATCACCCAAAAACACGGTGAGAATTTCGGCCTCTATCGAGATGACGGGCTTGGTGTTATAAAAGCAACCCCCCGTAAAATTAAAATTATCAAGAAAGATATCTGTTCCATCTTCAACAATTATGACTTAAAAATTACCATCGAAGCCAACAAGAAAATAGTAGATTTTTTAGACGTCACCCTAAATCTGTCTACCCAAAAGTACCAGCCGTTTACTAAACCCAATAATATGCCATTCTACGTCCACAACAAATCAAACCATCCACCCAAAATACTAGACAACATACCAGCCGCGATCAACAAACGCCTTTCCGAAATTTCATCTGACGAGGACTCGTTTCAGCGTGCAGTGCCATTGTACCAAGAAGCCCTAACAAAGAGCGGTTATCAACATAAATTGAAATACCAACAACCTCCGACATCCCAAAATACCATCAACTCAAGGAGTCGAAATATAACCTGGTACAACCCACCGTTCAGCAAAAATGTCGCCACTAATATTGGTCAGACCTTTTTAAAGATTTTAGACGAGGAATTTCCCGCAGACCATATCTTACACAAGATATTCAATAGAAATACCGTCAAGATTAGCTACAGCTGCATGAGCAATTTTAAACAAAACATCGACGGACATAACAAATCCAAGCTATCCCACCGAGCTATTAAAACCCCCGATGAAAAAAAGTGCAATTGCCAAAAATCAAGTGAATGCCCTATGTCAAAAAATTGTCTAGCAAAATCTGTTATCTACCAAGCCACAGTAAAAACATCTGACATGCGGCCCACTCAAACATATGTTGGACTAACAGAAAATGAATTCAAAACCCGATACACCAATCACAAAGCTTCATTTAATAACTATGAGAAGCGCAACTCTACTGAATTAAGTAAATACATCTGGAATCTTAAGAACAACAACATTAGTTACCCTATCAGATGGAAAATTTTAAAACGTGCTAAATCTTACAGTAATGCATCCAAGAGATGTAACTTGTGTATTTGGGAGAAGTATTTTATTATTTGTAAACCGGACATTGCAACACTTAATCGTCGCAACGAACTTGTCTCCACGTGTAGACACGCTAATAAATATCTACTTAAAAACTTTATAACTTGATACTAATATTTCGTGACACTGCTTAAGGTGTTAATTGATCTGTAATTAGATAAGCATCCTTTACCATCTGTACACATCTAAAAAGTTCGTTAGAAGCTAGAGGTCAAACATAGGCTATTTTATCTGAAGAGTGCCACGTTATTTACGTGGTACGAAACTGTATAGTAATAAATATGCCAAACAAAGCTTGCTAAGTTTTTGTGTCTTTCTATTATGCTCTTGTTATCCATTGAGCACTCTATCATTGGTTTTTATAACCTAACACAGACTATTATATATATATATATATATATATATATATATATATATATATATATATATATATATATATATATATATATATATATATATATATATATATATGTATATACATATATATATATATATATATATATATATATATATATATATATATATATATATATATATATATATATATATATATATATATATATATATATATATATATATATATTGTTTGAACAATATGGCGACAAGGAGATGAGTTGCGTTGAGACATATTGTTGGATAATTGAAACATAACAGGTAACATTTCATGAGGCGTCACCTTAAATAAGCGTACGAATGTGTGTGTGTATTGCTTCCTTTAAGTGCCCATCCAGGGTCACAAGGCCTGGACATTTGCTTGGGTAAATGAGCTCACGAGTGGAGGAATGCTATCGTATGTTAATCTTTGTTTTTAATTTTGCATATATCTAGAAAAGGGTACGTATGTGATATTGCTCTCGGAGAACTCCATCCTTTATATATATATATATATATATATATATATATATATATATATATATATATATATATATATATATATATATATATATATATATATATATATATATATATATATATATATATATATATATTTCAATCCGGAGAACTTTAATTAATTATAATATGCCTGGATTACAAATCTTTAAACTTATATATATATATATTTTAAAAACTCATTAATAATTCAGGAGGAAAACAAAAAGAAAAATCATAAGCGTGTCGTATCTTTATATGTGATAAAAAAATCATGTTAATTTACATAAACTTTAGCTTTGATTTTCTCGGTTTAGACAAGGTTTATTTTGAAAATTACTTCGCTAATGTACTCATCAGAAGATGGGTCGTTTTTTAAGCCATTTAAAGCACTTGTAGTCGTGTTTTATCAGATATAAAACGCTCGGCTGCACCTCGCGTTTTATATCTGATAAAACACTCCTACGCGTGCTTTAAATAGTTCATATATATATATATATATATATATATATATATATATATATATATATATATATATATATATATATATATATATATATATATATATAGGCCAAAAATTTCCGAATGACGAAAAAAATTTCGGAATATATCATGGCATACGAAGCCACGAAGGTGTTTGCTATCCGGAAAATTTCAAGGCCGTAGGAAGCTCTTTTTATTGGGGAGCTGAGAACGAGGGCCGAAGGCCCGAGGAAAATTTTAAATTTAGAGTCTCTGAAATGCCATTTCCTGGACTTTGGGGGAAGTTTTGACAGAATTCTGATGGTCAGAAAACAGCCTTTCAGTTTGTTGAAATTTACAATTTGCTTACAATTTAGTAGTACATATAAACACATACACACTTTATTTAGCGACGCTAGCACTGACAACTACAAAAGTTGATTTCCAGGGGGGGCATCCTTATAAAAATATTACAAAGAATACAAAAAGGAAGGAAACTACAGTAAGTCCAGTACAATATGTACATTATCAAAAGCTACGGTAGGGCCTATAAACGACGATGGTGTGTCCCAGAATAAATATATGATTGAGAGACACGGTTATTAACATCAAAAATTTGTTTTATACAACTTTTAAATATATAAATTGATTGAGCTTGCTTAGCTTCAAGCGGAAGGTTATTCCGAAGATAAGCAGCGCTATATTTAAAGCTTCTTTGGAGAAATTCTCCGTTTGGCTCTGGAAGGGTCAGATCAGTTTGAGAATTTCTAAGATTATAATTGTTTAGTAAAATATTTCTACTTATGAATGAATCTTTCAGAATTGGTGCGGCACTAGCTATTACTCCAGACTTTATATAAGAATGTTGCCTTGGTTATGTACCATCTTGTTTCCAAATTTTCCCAGTCAAGAGTTCGAAGAACGTCAGCAGATCATATCCCATACCTGTGTTAAAAGCGGCTTTCTGATTGGTTTAGAGCAGGTGAGCTTGTCGTCGAGCTCACCTGATTTTTGCCGAACTCACCTGCTTTTCGTCCGAACTCATCCGCTAAACTGCTTAGGTTGCAACTGGGTTGCAATAACAATAACATATATGGCGGACAAGATTTAGCCCATAAACCTAAACTTTAAAGAGCTTGTTTCGGTGACTAACATACTGAGACTGAAGAAAAACCAAAGAAAAAATGCAGTAAAGGCAATGTAGACGTAGATAATGAAGTATTTTCTTGCCCAGTGATTTTTTTGGCCGGGAAAATGTTGACAAAACATGGACGAATATATCGCGAAGAGCTACAAATGTGTGTATGGCTCGGTGTATGGGATAAAAACCAAACGTACTTGCAGGTTCGGTGAGTCCGGGATTGGACGCACCTCGGGTGGCTGGAAGTTTCCCGAACTCCCCTCGCTTCGCTCGGTAAGTTCGGGAAACTTCCAGCCACCCTCGGTGCGTCCAATCCCGGACTCACCTCCCTGCAAGTACGTTTGTTATATTATCCCATACCTGTGTTAAAAGCGGCTTTCTGATTGGTTTAGAGCAGGTGAGCTTGTCGTCGAGCTCACCTGCTTTTTTCCCGAACTCACCTGCTTTTCGCCGAACCACTCTGTGGCCGAACTTACCCGCGAAACGGCGAAACTGCTTAGGTTGCAATAACAGTAACAAATATGGCGGACAAGATTTAGCCGATAAACCTAAACTTTAAAGAACTTTTTTCGGTGACTAACCTACTGAGACTGAAGACAAACCAAAGAAAAAAATGCAATAAAGGTAATCTAGACGTAGATAAAGAAGTATTAAGAGCCCAGCGAATTTGTTTGGCCGAGAAAATGTTGACAAAACATCGACGAATATATCGCAAAGAACTACAATGTGTATGGCTCGGTGTATGGGATAAAAACCAAACGTACTTGCAGGTTCGGCGAGTCCGGGATTGGACGCAGGTTCGGTGAGTCCGGGATTGGAGGGCTGCAGGCGTCCAGCGCCCAGTTGCTAAGTTGCGATTTAGAAGTAATAAATCGAAATATATTTAGTATTTACCGATTTACGATTTGTTACATGTTATCCATGTAAATGCCATGATTTCGTTAATCAGTTTATACTAATAATACAATTATATTATATTTTATTTTTGTAACAACTAAAATTTTGCTATGACTATTATTGCCGTAATTTTCCGAATGGCCAACCCGATTTTCCGAATACGTTAATTCTGAAAAGGTTGGGAGGGTTAACCACCCCCAATACCCCCCCTCGCTACGGCCCTGGGTGTCCCAGCTTCTTTAATGCAATTATTGTATGATATTTGGAAGCGAAGCACAATAAATAAATAAATAAATAAATAAATAAATAAGTAAATAAATAAATAAATTAGTAAATAAATAAATAAATAAATAAATAAATAAATACATAAATAAACAAATAAATAAATAAATAAATAAATAATGTGTTTTGTGGATATTCTTAACAGTTGCTCGTCTCAAGTTGGAAAAAGTTATCGAGAAGGAGCTCAAGAAGTATCTCTAGGTCCGGGTTGCAACTATGCTGGAACCGTGATCCACGAGCTGATGCATGCGTTAGGATTTTGGCACGAGCAATCAAGACCTGATAGAGACGAATATGTTGAAATTTTCTGGGAAAATATAAAGAAAGGTATAAGTGTAATAGTATTTGTGAACTCGGTAGAATTGAATTCAGGACCCAAAGCATTACTATGTTTATGTTGTATTTAAAATAGTGAACCTATTTGATGTTAATTTTGTCCTCATTGTTATCAGGTAAAGATGGAAATTTTAAGAAGTACAGCCATGGCCTCGTAGATATCCTTGGGACAAATTATGATTTCGAAAGTGTGATGCACTATAGGGGAAAATCGTTTTCCAAAAATGGTAGGTCAACTGTCATTTTATGCCTTTTCTCGCACAGTTAATTTTTGAGAATTAACTCACGTGGGGATCTTTTGAATCTGCATTTAGAGTTAAATCGTTCCATATAATTTAGGAGTGCAATTAAATTCTGGAATTTGGCTGCATGCATGGCCCTCATTTAAAACATTAAGTCATGTTTTGACAATATTCAGGAATAAGCGATCATGGATCTGTCTGCATGAAGAGTGAACTAATAGCATTTTGTGTCTAAATTCTCTAAAAAACTTTTTCAAACATGGGTGTAAAATTAATGTACGCTTCCGTGAAAAATTACTTTGATATTTTAAGGGAAGGCTCTTCTACAGGTGTTTTGTTTGAAGGGATGTCTTTGTTCGACAGGTCTACATAATAATTTTGTTTGTGGAAACACCACGTAAATTTATTACTGCAAAGCTTTCGATCCGTAAACCCGTATCTTCATCAGTGCTAATAATATGTTAATAGCACTGATGAAGATCCGGGCTTACGGATCGAAAGCTTTACAGTAATAAATTTACGTGGTGTTTCCACAAACAAAATTATTATATTTTATCACCATGGAAATATACAAAGGTCTATATAATGTTTATGATTAGTTTTCCACTCGTTTCGACAAAGGCAGATATCACGCTGGCTTCTTCAAACTGCATGAAACATATATTTTGAAAGAATTTAGTAGCGATATAAGCAGGGTAGTTAAAAAGAATATTTTTATACAACCAATTCCTGAATTACGTTACCAAGTTTTAGAGTAAAGTACAAAATTTTATCAAATTCTTATATAGAAATGAATGACCAAATTCTTAATGTCGTTTATTTTTTAGGTCAAGCCACCATACGCGCTATAAAAAACCCCGAACGTACACTGGGACAGAGACTGAAGTTAAGTGACGTTGATGTCATCAAAATTGATGCACTATACGATTGCAAAGGTAAGATTAATGAAAAATTGAATGAATTCACCAACCGTTTCGCTAAGTCATTCAGTAGATATTTTTTCGCAATTTCGTAGATGGCAAAACGAGTGTCCTATATTCACTAAAATTTGTTTTGGGGAAAGCAATTTATATAGTTATATCTTCATGATCGTAAAAACTTAAAGATCATTCTTCATTAATTAAAATGTCTATTTTTCGAACGAATGAAAGCTTTGCCAGTAAGACATATTTGCACGTTCGGTGCTCATTTTTAAATGAAATAAACACAAATCCAGTTGAATGAGAATGGCATTCATGAATTTGTCATTCGGTCCACTGCCTTCATCATTCATGAATGGCCGATCTAAAAACGAACAGTAGTCCCTTACAATTCTATACTCGAAACATAACGTCGAGGGATGATAAAGACTGCTGTGCGACTTTATATCACCTTTAGTCGAGTTGCTATAGACTGGAATGACGAAACGTTGGGTTAAATATGCAAATGCATGACCGGGCTATGCAATTTAAAATGCGACAAGAAATATATGAAAAAAAGTCTCACGGCACTTCCAACTGAAAAGGAAAAAATGTTCTTGAATTGCTTCTGTCATGCATGCGAAATGTTACGAAATGTTCTATGGGGCAATAATATATATGGGCGGTGCGCTTATTTTGATATTCTAATATTTTTATATAGATTCTGGATCTGGTGTTTGGAGTCTGTGGTCTGAGTTAAGTCCATGTCTATCTACATGCTATAAACACCGTCAGCGGTTCTGTTCATCATCAGACCGAGCTAAAGATTGCCCAAGAGCTGATAAATTTGGAATTCAGACGGAGTTTGTGAAATGTTCTGATAAAGAATGTTATGGTAAGATTGATGAATATTTGTTCTCTATAAACAGATGGAGTGTAGAAACTTTTTCTAACGTAGACTCTGATGGACAAGCCGCATTGATACGTTAATATATGTTAACGCTCATATACACTCTCTTTTTAAGCATCGTCTTTTCCTCCTACATTTACCGTTTACTCTGGCTTCCTTTCACAATTTTCCTCCCTCTCTTCCTATGCCTCCAAACTGTTCATCGTCTTATATCTTAATCCTACAAGCTGACCGGTGTCCTAGGAATTTCGCCTCTCCCTACAATTTCGCCCCCAGGGAAGCCAAATTCCTAGTAATATCGCCCTCCCGGGGAGCAAAATTCCTAGGAAATTCGCCCCTCTTAGAAACTTTACATTTTCTTTAGGATTTTCGTCCTCCGTTCAAAATTTCGCACTTCCTAACAGTTGCACTGATAATTATTACATGACTTTAGTCATTTGAAATCAGTGTCAATTCAAAATTGTTAAAAATACAAATTTACAATTATATCTATCGAAAGGATTTACAGTAGATCAATAGGACTTATCGTACGCACTGATCTAATAGTAGACTGGATATAGCTTCTCTAGGTGTGAAAAGTGAAGCCAAATGAAATTATATATGCGAAAATCACTTCCGGGGACCACGGAGTGATACAAATTACTATAGAAATGTATGGCGAACAACGTGAACCAAGGTGAATTTTCCCGAATTTGAGATACTTTGCGAAGTTTTACCAAGCTGATCGCTCCAACGTGGGTAAAAGATGTTATGTTAATGCTTTTAAAACGAAAATTATCCAGATTGCCCTAAAATATCGTCAGTTTTGTTCGTTCAAAGTTGTCCATGCGGGAATAATATTTTATCGCCACAGTGGTATGACAACACAATTTCTAGTTTGCTTTCCAATTACGGAGGCGGATTATGATCAAGCAAACTTTTAAAGGGAAGTAAGTAGTTCATTTATCATTTGTGTTTAACCTTGATCGACCAGAAGGTTTCAAACTTTCAATTATCCATCTTAATAAGCCTTTTTACAAAATGTATATATGTACAGTAAGTAGTCAGTACATGTATTTAATAGTTCTAAAGATATGTAATAAATATATTTGTACTTTTAGTACTTGTTTTTATTTGTTATTCTGTTAAACTGGAAGACAATATTAATGATTAGCTTTCTGTATAGTGAATTTTACTTTTATATTGCAGTTGAATTTTAAACTTTCAGTTGCAGAGTGTATATTGTTTTTATAGTGCAGAGAGAGGCAGAGTGTATTGCTCATTAATTTTGATCATTCATTTATATATAAACGTTTGTAAGGCCCCGTTTACATGAGACCGGGACGAAGTCAAACCGGAATGAAAATTGAAATTGTCAACATGTTTACATGAGACCGGGACGAAAATCACAAAATTTTCAATTTATTCCCCTTGACAGGAAATTTTCTTTTTCAGATGGCTTTTGTTTTAATAGCATGTGTTGTTCCAATGTCAAGGTTACAGCCGAGACCGGTCTGAAATGTATTTGTGTTTACATTCATCCCGGTCTGAATTCATGCCGGTCTGAAGTCAGTCGGGTCGGTCCAGCAGGCGGAATGACTTGAGACCAGTCTGAGTTATTTTCGTCCCGGTCTCATGTAAACATCTGTTATAAATTATACTCTGACCGAAATGAAATGATCCCGGTTTGACTTTGTTCCGGTCTCATGTAAACAGGGCCTTGTTGTAAAATATCCATTGGTGCTTTTCCACCAAATTCCCAGCATATACAGGGTGTCCCAAAAAATGTCCCCTCTTGTTGGTTAATTACTATGAGTAAAGCCTGGTTTCCATATGGTCATAACAGTCATAGAAATAGAGTCTTTCTCAACAGTCAGTATATAATAGTTTATACCTGTAAACCACATATAAATCATAAGTATTCACTAGTTATAATCACTCAGCATATTTTCAGTTCTAAAATGTTGTATTACTATTTCGGCTGATATGGAAACCAGGCATTTTGATCAATTTGATGGTGTAGCTGGCTGAATGAAAATGTCGTAGTTAAGTAAAAAAGCATAGCAGCACAAACTCACAAAGCCAAGTGTTTTGAAAAATTTCGAATGAGCTTGGAACAGATAATGACATGAAGTAACTTAAAATTCCAAGGTTTTCCAGAGGAATGTTTTTTTGAACCCCCCCTCTCCCCCCTTACTGTGGATGTATTGTTGTACCAAAATTTGACGGCCTCTTTCAGGACCCTGGCTAAAAGCCTGACCCCAGTCCCAGGGGTATTAAAAAAAGAAACATTGGTTGCAGTTCAAATGTTGTGTTTTGTCACCTGGGGTTTCTCGTCGAAACAGCACAACTGGTCATGGAAACCATGCTTTTGAAGTATAGGCAATTAGAAACTTAAATTAAAAATAATTTCATGAATAATTGGCCAAGGCAACCTAAAAAAGCATGTATATTTTATCTTACATTGTCAGAATATCATACTGCCTACAGTATAGTTGCCTGACAATTTTACTTTGGTATTAATGAGTTGAGTCCATCAGTGGACAGTGGTTGAGGTTTAAGCAGATTATTATTTCAAATTAACTTTGAATGATATATTTTATATTTGTTCTTATATTTATACTCATTTAGATATTGAATGATAAATACACCCCACATTTTAAATCAATTTTGTTCTAATTTAAAATTCAAATTCATTAAAGTAGATTCACTTTACTGAAGTAGATTCACTCTACAGAAAGCTTCATTAAGGTTGCCTTCCAGTTTAACAGAATAACAAATAAACAAGTACTTAGAAAAGTACAAATATCTTTAGTACCAACTAAGACATGTCTATAATCTATATATTAATGTCATATATTTTGTAAAAAGGCTTTATAGTAAGATGGATAGTTGAAAGTTTGAAACCCTCTGGTCGATCAAGGTTAAACATAAATGATAAAATGAACTACTAACTTTCCTTTAAAAGTATGCTTGAGTATAGTAGATCATAATCTGCCTCCGTAATTGGAAAGCAAACTAGAAATTGTGTTGTCATACCACTGTGGCGATAAAATATTATTCCCGCATGGACAACTTTGAACGAACAAAACTGACGATATTTTAGAGCGATCTGGATAATTTTCGTTTTAAAACCATTAATATAACATCTTGTACCCACGGTGTAGCGATCAGCTTGGTAAAACTTCGCAAAGTATCTCGAATTCGGCAAAATTCAGCTTGGTTCACGTTGTTCGCCATACATTTCTATAGTAATTTGTATCACTCCGTGGTCCCCGGAAGTGATTTTCGCATATATAATTTGGCTTCACTTTTCGCACCTAGAGAAGCTATATCCAGTCTACTATTAGATCAGTGGTA